ATTATTCTGATTTACTACCGGTGGATTGCCTTGGCCTGCACCTCCTTGTGGATTATTCTGATTTACTACCGGTGGATTGCCTTGGCCTGCACCTCCTTGTGGATTATTAACGTTACCTGGTGCTGGTGATTGTGCGTTTTCTGCTACCTGTGCTGTTAAACCAGCCATACAACTTCGAGCCTGATCTTCATGAGTGCTCAGTCTCTTCTTTAAATTATTGAATATTAAGCTATAGCAGTATGTAATTTTCCGTTTGGCCCTTGAACTATTTCGCTTCTCATCTCTCATCAATTTGTTAGTATGACTTTGCCATGATTCAATGAAAATACTCTGGGAATTTTCACGAGTCCTGATGCATAACCATGGAACCCTCTTGTTTTTACAATTCACTTGAATATCTTCTAATTTTTTTTTTAATTTCTTTCCGTCCTATGGATGAACATATCGCATAATTATCATTCATTCAAATTCATTTTTCCCCTTCCATCCAAATATTCTACGAACCTTCGTTAATTCAATTCGTTTCTCATTTATGTCCACATAATGAGGAATATTGTCATTAAAACATGATCCCATTTGATCACGTGTTGTCTTAATCACGGCCTCGGTATTTTCGTTCAATTCGCTGACGCATTTTTTCGGATCCTTTCCTTGCTCGCGGGCTTGCTGTATCAAAGGCTAAGAATCACAGATTCAAAATTAAAAAACTATAATTTCTGGTTTGGTTCATAATCATGAGATATTTATTTTGTTAAAATTACTTTCTGTTTTTGAAGACTTGCGTTAGCCTCTGCGCTTGCTTTTGATAACACTTGTGCATAACCCTCTATCAGGCTTTCTTGGGTATATTTCAGTAATAGGCCGTAGTTTTCGAGTGAATGCTGCACATTATCAACGAGTTCCGTCAGCCCTTGTGCCTGGACCTTAAATTTTCAATAAATTATCGCAGCGAACTTAATGAAATAATATGTGACCAAACGTAACCGAATATATACTGCGTACTTGGCTGATGTAGACAGCTACCAGGACAGCGAGAACCACGTAGACTCTCATTTTCAAATGAACACTGTTTCCCGGAATGACTTTTCCCCATTTTTATATGAAAATCGACCCTTTCTCCGCGCTTTTTGGTTCACATTGTTTGCTTATCTCTTCTAAATATTTGAACTCACAAGAATGCGGAAATCAATATTGAGAAATCGAGTAGCCTATTTTCATCATAAACTGTTCCAAATAGTTATTTCTCTGCTCATCTATTCGCCTTTGAATTCTTAATATTATGCGGTACTCAATTGTTGTGAAGTATTTATGAAAATTAATCAAAATAATGAATTGTATTTTCATTACAATTGATTGTTCTTCATTTGATGAATAGAATAACGTTGAATTCTAATTCAACTTGTCCATTGTGACTGATAAGTAGATTACAAAACACGTGTTGATAACCCAATTCTGTTAAAGATCGGTGTATTTTTCCTATACATTCAATTATTTTGAAATTTCAGGCCGTTTCATATGTTACCATAGTTTAATGTTGGCATTATTTTTTCGAATATATCCGTCCCACATTGGGTAATAGTATCGATTTTAGTTAAACAAAGTATTCCTGTCAAATAGCCAAATGCTGATAATCAATGAAACTATGAAAATCCTATTCTCAAAAGGATAAACATCGATACTATCGATATCTCGAAACTCTGTCACGCTTATTCCTCATTGGTTCAGTCGTTTGAGGTGGCTAATTTGAATTTGGAACTCATTTAAATTAACAATTTTAAATCGCGATTTTTATAATTACAGGGCGCTGTAGCGCGCGTTCGTTTTCGTAGATACGAAAATATCCAAATAGTGTCAATCAACTATTTACGCACAACATGACCGATTCCCCTATTTAATTCTGGGTTATATTCAAGTCAATAGTTAGAAAGAGAAGGTAACGATAACAACTTCAATTGAATTGTCTGCCGCATAGAGTATTTGTCAGCCTCGTTATTCGTCAATTCAGCTGAAGTTGTTCTCCTAGTCTTATCCAAATATTTTCTCCAATTTTCGAAAAGCGTCGCACATAGCGTTATTTTCAGTCCCAGTTATGAAAAAATTGTTCATGGCCACAAAACGAGCGGTGATAGCCTGCCGAGTTAGCTGTAAGATAGCTCAAGGGAAGGACGGGTTAGAAATTAGGCTGATGTACCGCGGAGGTACTGGGCCAGATTGTAAAAAAACCCGCGAACGTAAACATATAATATCTATAATGTATGAATATATAATTTATTTTAATATAAATTTTTCTGTCACCAGGTAATTAATAAAATATTTAACCACCTTATCTTTATCAATTTTTTATTGTTATTCAATTAAACATGATGATGAATTTACGAATCATGTCTAAATCGGTTCTGGAAACGAACCGCAAAGACAAGAATGTCTATCATTTAAAACAATTTTACGTTACTGCACTTTGGTGCATGCCCGAGCATTTCTCCTTGCAATGGCGACTGCAACTTTGAAGTCCTTCATTGGAGACAAGGCACAACTTCCAATTTTAGCGTATGCTGCACCCATACTAACAGCAGTTTGTCCTCTAAGCTTTCCAGCAGCTGCAATGTAGACTCCAACAGACATTGAAACTCTCGGGATATACTTGGCAATGCAGGCCCTTGCGATGACATTGTTTTCGGATGCGCATTCCGCTTCAATCTCGTTCATCCTAGCCTGGATTTCTGCGCCTCTCTGCAAATCAAAAATCAAAAATTGAATTAGCACTCCATCACAGGAAGGGAAGAATCTTTCCTTCAATATCTTTAAATTGGAAAACCAGATTCACTCACGACAATCAATCCGTTAATGCTGCTTTCGAAGGGTTGAGCATTGGGGACATTATCCTGGAGGCATTTCTCTAATGCAGGTGATACTTTATTCTGAGCATCATTGAGTTCTCCATCCAGGGTTGAGAAACATTCTGGGCCCTGTCCCTCAAATTCTTTCCTGGTTGCTGCAACGGTGTGCGCAACAATCCCTCTGAAGTTTTCCATGAAGGCTTGGAGCCTGCTATTCTGGTTTTCAGCGACATGTCCTCTGCGCTCTTCCAAGACGTTCTGCATACTCTGAACTGTCTTGTTCAGCTGGTTCATGACCACCGAGACGCTGGCTTCATTCTGCAACAATCACATGTTCAAGCCCCGCCAGAGCGCATTGAAAATTATTTTGAAAAATAAAACTCACCTGGCAGACGAAAACAGCCAAGACAGCGAGGATCACTCCGAAGTACTTCATATTTGTCGTAAAACTGTAGCTTCTTTTCCACTGACGCAATTTGATATTTGATGCGAAATTCATTTCGTTCAGGATTTATATACTCCGAAAATTCCTCCCACTCGATGCGCCGAGCAAACATCGACATCATATATGATTAACGTTAATTGACAATTCGGAAGACATCAAATAATAATCTCATACCAGCACACTGAGGTCTTTCGTTTAGATGAAGTCGCCATAACATAGTGGACGGTAAATATGCCCGATAAGAAGCGACTTAATCAGACGTGCGGAATTAGATCATCGATATAAAAACGATGATATCAATTTAGGGAATGAAATTCGTAAAATAAAGAATTCCTTTCCACTTTCGAAAACTATAATTACATCAGTGATAATTGCAGCTCATCATTTGGATAATGAAAATCCCAGACAGATGTCCTTTGTCTCTAGGACGTTCGGTCATCTTATCGTGTTTTCTTCTTGCCTGTGCGCTTGTCCTGAGGAAAAATCCTCGGGGCAGAACCCGAGGAATCTGTATAAGGTCCGGCCTACTACCTCGCTTCACGCATACATGAATTTTCTACGTACACAATACCGATAAAGTGCGGCCATTCCGCACATTTAACATCCTCCTCACCATCAGGCCAGTGCCCATGTACCAGCCATCATTCAGTAGTAGCAGCTAAATAAATCCGCATGTGCCGGGGCATAAAAAAATCTGAAAGACTGACAAGTACTGAGGCAAAATCCCATCCTCAACTTGCATTCTAGTTATTCGAGGCTCGAGTAGAGGCTACTTTCTCGCCTCCGGCAAGGCGAAGCCCATCTACTCGCCTAGTAGAATCGTTTCGAGTGAAATATTTTTCACTGTTTTGCATGGAAATATTCCGGACTCATAAACATTTGTACGATGTCATGTAAATTATGACCATCTCGTTATTTTGTTTTGTTAATTCCAACAAATTGAGTAATGTATAAAAATCCGTCATATTTATATTCAATGTCACGATGCCACGAATTCAACTCGATTCATGAATCCTTTAATCTTCAGACCCATTCAAGTATCAATCCTTTAACAATGACCATAGAATAACAGAGACCAATTTATTTAACACTGTTAAACATGTTTACTCATTCTAAGCAAATTCGATTATTTCGTGCTCTAGAATATTTCCTGAATTCTTTGCGTGTATTATGTCCACTTTATTTCTAGATAATAAACACGGGTTCGTGGATCGAAATTTGTATCCGAGATAGTCGTAATAACTTTATTTCTCAGTTGAAATCGAATTATAATCGATTTTTCTAGCTCTTTAATTTTTTGCGAACGACCTTAATGAATATTTGTCGATCAAACCGGCAACAGCCTTCAACCGAATCCATTTGTTAGCCATAAGTAATCGTTTTTATCAGTGCAAGTGCACACATAACCGGTAAACACAAAAATTTCCATTATCTCTCTGACATTGAAGAGCACATGTCATGTGCAACTGCAGGTTAATTGAATCGTCCTCAGTTTTACCTGTCATTAAATATTTTCTCAAGAAGTGGATTTAATTCGATTATCCTCCGAAGTGTTCAATCATTTGAAAAATCGCAAGACCCACATTCCGCACCAATGAGAATCATATTCACGGACACACGTGCATCCCGTTACTTGTAATTGCTAGAGGTTCACGATAATCTCTCCCACAAATTTCCTGGTATGATATCAAATGGATATAAACAACGTCAGCATCATTTTATTTTATTTCATTTTTTCTCTATCGTGATCGCCCTTAATCTCTCATTTGGATAAGACAGTGCTGATAATTAAATAACACGATATGTCATGGATCAAGTTATAAGAGATGTGATAAAAGTACCGAGTGACACTGATAGATTATATTCAGTTTGAAGACACCTGTATTCCCTTACTTCTGTATATACCCTGGATCATTTTACCTTCAACTCATATATTTAATGATTAGATTCTTTTTATACGGGATCTTTATGTGTTCTAGATATCAGAATCGGTGATAACACCCGGCAAAGTTGATAAAATTGAAGCTAGATGTGCTCCATTGGCGTGCACACTCGATTTACGAGGAAAAATAAATCAATGCGGTTGGTGAAGTAATGTAAGATTTTCGTTCGGATTTTCCGGGGGACAGAGAAAGAGTGCAGAGTTGAAGCTCTGAAAAAGAGTCTGGGTAGAATTGAGAGGGGAGTGGGCTGCGGGTTGTGAATGGTACCCTTTGTACAGCTCTTACTCAAGCACGTGCTCCAGCCGCAGCCACTCAACCGCTTCTCTAACATGAATACAGAAAAAAAATACTTCCAGTTTAAATAGAAATTTCCAAATTCAACAAAACATCTTTTTGATTGCTGTCAAATTTATTATTGCTATTCGGTTTTTTTATTCATTTATTTTTGAATTACTTCTTCTAGTAATCAATTTTCTTCTTACAACAATATTTTTTTTTTCTCTCTGAAAAAAATCCATATTCCTCTCGAGTGTGAGATATTCTGTGACCCATTTCTTTGAATTTACCAGCGATAGGAACAATGCTCGGGACTCATATCGGTTTCGATCTTTTGTTTGGGCCTTTTGTTTGAGATTCTGCTCCTTGGATTCCTTTTTTTTCGCCGTTGGGTATTGTTCGGGAGGAGCTGCAGCCAGGAAAAAAAATGCGGGGTCCTTGGATAGCGTGCAACCCTCGAGCAACGACATCGTCTGGATCTGAGTCCCAACGATGGGTGGAATTAATGAAGGTACATTGTATCTAGTCATTTAATGGCGCGTGAAAAATCGATGGGTTTTTTTCAAGTACCTAATATAATGGATAGTGATTTTTATCCCGATAAAAAAATTATCGGTATCGATCAATATTAAATATCGATAGTCTATATCAAACTAGCGATCGACTCGAACGAAAGACAGGGTGAAAGATAATCATCGAGTCGATGATTTCATTCCTTTTTTTATTTTTATTACTTGTAGGTTATCTATCGTTATTACTGTATAGGTCTTGCTCACTCCTCGTCTTCTGCATTAATTATAGCCGGATTACCTGCAAGTCTAGTATCCGGTATATATAATACCCCGGACCAATCGAAGGCCAGCAGATGCCACTGATATAGTAGGGGATTTATGACTCGTTACGCCAATGTTGAGATCGAAAAAACATTATTTCTCGCATTGATCATGCCGCTGGATCGCACCAGGGCTGTACTTAAAGTACTTTGCGGCGATCTTTTAATCCTTGTTGAGGCTAGACTGCGCGACGCCGAGAAAATCTTATCGGACATTTTTTTTGCATACATTCTTTCGCTGCGAGGGAGAGCCTGAGTCACTCTGTAAACTTTGAACGTACGATGGGGGAGAAATATACTGATTTGTATTGGGCGATTGAAAAAACAATTTCTTGGAAACAATTAGAAAAGTTCTGGAGCGCGATAATCATTCACGGTCATGTCAAACATTCAATCAAATCTACTCTTGATAAACCGTGCTGCAGCACGGGCAAAAATTTATTGTAAAATTAAAAAAATTACTATTTCTTGGTGGAATTTTTATGAGAATAAAAAAATAGAGGTAGATTTGGAGATGATTTGTTTGTCGTGTCGGCCATTTCGTCCATTATCATTTTTTGTCTTTACCCTCAATTATGAGAATTAACATTAAAAAAAATCGTTGAACCCTCCTGAGACCTCCCATGATGAATTAATTCGCGGTTCTTCGCGTTCGACAAGTGCAAGGTGCACACAAAAGGGCGGGGAGAAATGAGAAGAAATAAGAAAAACTCGAAAGGGCAATTTTAATATTCATCACCCAGCAATCGTAGATGTTGGAGACGGAGGAATACGAGGAAAGGAGAGAGGGTTATCAAGTGAGGTTCCACCACCTCCGCCTCCCGACGACCCACCGCAGAGGGAGCACAAGACGTTCTTGTCCGAGAGGCCATTTCGATCAACTCCCAACGTCCATCACCGGAAATTAACTCCACCAAAGAAATGTCCACCTGATCGGGTTTCACATTTCTCAGTCAATCGAACATTGATGATCCTCTCGATGTTTTTAGAACCCGTGAGGGGATATAAATGATGGAATTCTCGGTCGGGGCAATAAACTTGGGAAATAAAAATAATGGAAACGTGAGGGAATTTGTGAATTTTTTATCATTTTTCTCACTATTCTAAACGATATCTGGCCGTTTATATCAAATTTTTTATATTTCATTTCGTTTAAATTTAGCTTTCATTGGTAATTTTATTATGCGGTGAGACAAAGAGTGAATTCTTATGGAATATTAATTTATTTGAGAGAATTATTTGTGTTCAAAAAATGGTATCTCTTTGATCGAATAATTTCTAGATGAACCTGTTTGGGTTTTAATTATGCTGATCGTGATATCCTAGATGATAATTATTTTATGTCATTGCGGCCGGTAAAACGCGTTTCTAACCTCGCTTCGCTCGGATAAAAACGCGTTTTCGGCCAGACATAAAATAGCATCATAGCCACGGCGAAAAAAGTGATTGTGACGCATGCGCGTTATAATCCTCGTCTCCGACTCGGACTATAAAGTCGCATTCGCCAGATTCCCTTTTTCCGTCCTAGGCGTGAAATATACTATTATTGCTATATTCTATTGCGTGAATTCATGATTATTAAAGCGGGGAAATTTGGTATTGAACCGGAGGCCAGGGAAAATAGGAGGACTGATGGGAAGAGGCGAGGGGTTTGACACCCTCTAGTGACGTCGGGCCCAAAACAAGGACCCCACAGGGTGAATGGACAGACTCGGAGGACAATTAGGCATTCGGGCCTTGACCTGCCAAGAGTACACTCCTTTGACGATCATCCAACGTAGCGTATTTCGTACACTATTGTCGCGTGATTTCAGAGCTTGTATTTTATTGTATCTTATTCGATTTATTCTAACTAAATATAAAAACTCCAAATGAAAAGTATTTACTACATTATTAATTCTGTGGAAATCTCACCTTTTCTTGAGAGAAGAATTTCGATTAATTATTCGATATCAATTATGATTGAGAGAACACATT